TATAAAGATGAAGTTTTATGTGATATAGTCCTCATAGAAACTTATCATATTTTCTTGGAAAGGTCACAAAAATTTGATAAGCAATATATCTATAATGGTTTTACCAATGAAATATCCCTCACGCACAAAGATAAGAAATTTGTATTATACCCTCTTACACTTACCCAAGTAGTAGAGGATCAAATGCAAATAAAGTTTAAAGGACGGAATAAAATAAAAAGAGAAAAGAAAAAACAAAAACAACCATTAAAGGGTAAGAGGGGGTACAAGGAGGATAAGGAGGAAAATGTATCTTCTAAGGCAATTGTTATTAAAAAGAGTTATTTTTCTATAAAACATAAAATCAACATGATTCTATCTTGAAGGATCCCTTGCTTCACCTTTCAATGAATTGGTAAATAACATTATTCCTTATTCTTAGGGAAATAAATAAAAGTAAGCTTTTCAAACCTTAAAAGATGGATACTCCAATGCACATATTCTAGCTTTTTATAAAATTTCTAAAACCTTTGAGCTAGAACATTATGCATTTGGATTATGTGTGGGAGTTTCATTATTGCAACGTGGGCACCCTATTATTTCTTTTAGTATAACACCTTATGGTGTCACTCTCAACTACTCCACATATAACAAAGAGATCTATACTCTCATCCAAGCCTTCCAAACTTGGGGACAATAATTTGTTTTAAAGAAGTTTTTTATTCATGGTGACCCTAAGTCACTAAGTTCTTTGAGAAGGCAAGGAAACTTTGTTATACATAAATTGATTTATAGCATGAGCCCGGGTGATTATATAGGACACTCAAGACAAATTTTGATAGTTTCTAGGGAAAATCATCTTTTGGAAAAACTAGAAAAATATAGTTTGTGTAGATAGTATTATTTTTATAGGTTTTATAGATATCTCAAAAGGAGTAGTTCAAAAGGACCCCAAGAAAATCAAGGTCATTCAAGATTGGCCCACTTCAAAGAAAGTAGAGAGGATAAACAAGCAAGACCCCCCTAATGATTATAAAGTAAACAACACTTCTAATGTTTGTAATTTAATTTCTTTTGTAGGTGTTAAAGAAGAAGAGGAAAAAGCTTTAGATTTGAGGACCAATCCTCTCGAAGAGAGAGGAGATAGTGGAATAATGTCCAATGGTTAAGTACAAAAGCGGGTAAAAGGAGTGAACTAGGAGTAAAGTTCATTTTTCTTGTAAATATATTGTAAATAATTTTCTTTGACATTTATTTTGACCTCGTATTATGAGTCATTTAGTGAGGGTTAATTTTGTACTTCTCCTTTGAGAGTGTATTTTGTAATTATGAGATGCGTATTTTGTAAATGGAAGATGATATTAGTGGGCTTGTGTGAGCCCAAGGGAGTGGTTCCCACTTGGTGTTTATTTGCACCCTCTCTTATGCTACACACCTCACTAAGTCACACCTTCTATGTCTTATCACACTTCTCACGTGATTACTATTTCACCCCCTTTTTCTTACTCTCACACCCTCTTCACACTTTTCATACTTAATTATACTTCCTATGTGGCTACTATCTTACCCTCTCCCCTTTCTTACTCTTACACTTTGATTGTGACATAAGAGTGGATGTCTAAGGCACGAAGACCAACTATGGTTGAGTTACCAAACCATAGTTAACTTGATCATGGTTCGACTAACTTGCATCACAAGTCAACTAAACCTTATATAAAGCCTTCTTCCTTGGTCCTAATTATAAGAAACAAATATCTACTTTAAGATGTATTAATTATTTTTCTTTTATACCCTCATTAAGTGGAAAAAGTTATTCCTTGAATTAAGTAGTGTCATTAAATGTGGTACTATTTAAACGATTTAATTCAAAAGGTGCTTTTGAAATAAAATTTAATTTTATAAGATTATTAATAAAAATTAATTATCTTAACTATTTTTATTAGTTTTGATAAATTATTTATTTATTTCTTATATAAAAAATGAGGGAGTATTTATTTTTATTGAAGTGCTTCTTTTATTTTTTAAAACTTTCTTCTTATTCCAAAACTCTAGTTTAAATAACCCATAATTTTCCAAAAACATATTTGTTTAAGTAATTTTTTAATATTATTTTAATATGAAAAGAAAGGTTTTATAACTTATAATATACGTCCATTTATAAACAAACATATAGATACATATTTTTTTCATATGTTTCAATATCTTTGTGCAAATACACATTTGTGTGTGTCAAGTTTATTTATGTTATATGATCTTTTATATTGTGTTTGGTAGTGAAAATGGAAGTGAAACAAAATGGAGAGCATAGATGAAAAAATAAAAGAGGAGAAATGAGAAATAAAGTTGAAATTAAAATTATTTAGTATGAAAGAAATAGAAGAGAATTCGAGAAAAGATGGTCTAAATAAAAAAAAAAAAAGTTTAAATTGATGTTATAATTATACCATTTACAATTAGCTATCTTCCACTTTTCCATGCAATTTCACAATCATCCCTCCTCTCCTTTTATTTCCACACAACTTCATTAAACCAACCAAAAATAAATAGTGTTAATGTCAAACTTATAAATCACACACAAACAATAATTATTTAATACAAAGCCTAACATACACACAAAAGTTATATACCAGATTTATTCAATCTTTTAATGGTAAGCCTGTAAAGCATATATACACAAGTTATTAATGAACTTTTAATGTTAGTGCACCCTTACAAGATATTTATGAGCTTTTAATATTAAATTATAAAATTTGAGATTAACTCATTTATATAATCATGTCAAATATTAAGTTTATAATAATTTGTTAGCTAAATTACACTTTTTAATTCCTTTATTATATGAAATTTGTAATTTTGATTTCTTAATTTTTAATTATGCAATTTTTGTCTTGTAATTTTATAAAATTTATAATTTTTATTTTTATAGTTAAGTTTCAATTGTTGATCGTTAAAAGTATAGCATTTTTATGATCTAATACTGTGTAGATGACAAGACAATTAGTATTTAATATATTAGGTTAAATTGCACTTTTAATTTCTATTTTTTTTATCTCATTTTCATCTTATTTGATCACTTTTATGAGATAAAAATAGAAACTAAAAATGAAATTTAGTATAAATATTTTTAAATATTAATTTTCATATCATTTATTTAATGGCAGATCATGATAAATGTTATAGTTTCAGTAATTAACAGATAAAAATCCAATGAAGAAGTAAAAGTTGTAAATTTTATAAAATTGAAAGATTAAAATTATAAAATTAAAAAAAAAATTACAAATTATATCTTATTGAAGACCAAATAGTTTAACCTAATTTATTTATTAAAATAAATGAACTTGATAAAAATATTTAATGAAATAAGTTGAATAATTTATATTTGTTTATGCTCTTTGTTGCGCCTTCTAATTCAATTCATGTGAAATAATACTTATTTTTAAGTAGATTAAAAATTGAACTATGCTAACTTATTCAACTGAAAAATCAATGGATGGGTGACGTATCTAATCTTTTTAACAAACAGAAAAAGCTTATTATAACAGTAGAGAAAATCAAGGGTGGGTCCAAAATCGGAGGTGAAAAACTGGTTCTTTCAATTTTTATTTTTAATAATATTTTTAAATTTTATATTCAACAAAACTATTTTTTCAATCCAATAAAGACCTAATGTTATGATATAAATGTCCACATATGATTCTCTTTTGAATCTATGTTCAGCAATTTGTTTAAACTTCAAAAGAAATTATTATTAAAAAGTATTATTTTAAATTGCTGTTTTAAAAATAAAAATATACTTATTTGTAAAATAAGAAATTTAGAGAAGCACATCTAAAATATTAAATTACTTTTTTTTTTATTAAAATACACTTTTTTAAAGAATATTTTTTAAACAAACAATCCATTATCCTGGCTCTTATTAACTTTTGAGAAAATAAACTATGTATTAACAATGTAAAATAATTTCATTATATTCCAATCACAAATTATTATATATATATATATATATATATATATATATAAAATAAGTTTATTAACTTATACAAAAATAATAATAATAAAGTAATAAAAAGAACTAAGAACACATACCAATGATAATTTTTAATTGATTGTCACTAAAAATATTTCATATTATCAAATGCATAAGCATTAATCTTAATTTTTTAATTTTACAAGATACTCAATAACTAAATATTTGTATTTTAAAATACTAGAGTAGATTTTATTTCCTATTTTGTAATACATTAACTGAAATATAAACAATCTTGACATAAATTAAATATTTTTTATTCCATAATAGGTATGTTTTAATAAACTTATCCAAAAATACTTAAAGAAAAAAAAATAGAATGAAAAATAAAATAAACTTTTTCAAAAATTAATATTACCTTATGCATAAACTAATTTATAAAAATTATTTCTTTTTTTTTTATAATTTTATTTTTAATTCATACATATAATAAAAAAATTAATTTAATTTTCTTGTATTTATCTTCTAAAAATTCTTTTATAAAATTTATCCAAACAAGTCTAATATAGACAATTTTAATATCAAATTAGAAGTTTGATTGAAGTAGCGCGAGACCCGTATTTAATTCCATAGGGTAGAGACACGTATTTAATTCCATAGGGTAGAGACACGTTTTGTTGTATTTCGAAACACAATTCCAAAGTTAATCGAAAACATATAATACACTGTCGCTAATCGTCGTTTAGGAATAGTGTTGTGCTCACATCTACAGACACACCAATAGTGTTGCACAGTTTTCCTGCACCCACTGCCATTTTCTGTAGTTTTGGCTTCAAAACACACCACTGATGCCACTGCAAGCAGCAAAATGATTCCTACCTACCCAATAATCGTGTGATTCTTTTCCAGGTCTCATTTGTGATTCAAATTGATTTGTGGAGCAATTTAAACACCAAATCAATTCAATCACCAATTCATATCACCAGTTGCTTGAATAGTACGGATACATATGATTCATGGTGCAATTTAAACACCAAAATGACTCACCAATTCATATCGTCAGTTGCTCCTCAAATCATATACTACTACCATGTCGCTACCATCTAACAATGGTTGCACAAGAGAATTATGTTATAACATGTTATAGTAGGGACCAAAACATAAAGCAGAACATAAGCATCTAGAACCACAAATGCCAAAGATCATGAGCTAATGATGTATGTTCCGGTCGGTGAGAAAGATCATGAGCTAATGATGTATGTTCCGGTCGGTGAATTAAGTAGGGTGTCCATACAAATTTGCCAGCCCCAGAAACATGTGAAGGGCCACATGAATCAAGGATCGAACAGTAAATAGAATTGTATCAACTTAAAGAACCCTAACCATAAACCCTTGTCAGTTCTATGTTAATCTAGGTTTTCCTACTCCAGCCCCATGAGTGGGTGTAAAGCTACAAAACATTCATCGCAAATGTAGATTAAATAAATACAACAGCAAGAATAATAGAACTCATTTTGCCTACGAGGCAGTGTATCATTTTTCGGTCTTTGCAGCACACGCCACCACATGAGATTTGAATTTCTCCAACTCGGCCAAAACCTCATTTTCTGGTCTGTAGATCAAATCACTCATGCGCCATATCTGCACGAATGAGTTTGAATGCATCAAAGACAATGTGTTAAACAAGCCAAAACACATGTTTCAATCATAATGATTACTAGTAATTAATCTTGAAACACCTGAGTTACCAGTTCATTAATGGATGAGTAAATTATTCAGAAAAGACATGCATACCACCTAGTGTAAACTCATTTGACTTAGATTTAAATGACTTAATATTCACATAAAAATAAAAGGAAAAAAAATAAGTTAAACGACAGAAAATTAGATCTGCAAGTGCATACTTCAGATCACGAAAATTGAAATGCGAAAGTAGAAATGCCAAATGCCAAACGAGAAGAAATACCAGGATGAGCCTAAAAACTGTGATCTTGGGAGAGGAAAAAGATGAGTTACTCTTAAGGATTTGCTTTTAAGAATATTAATAAATGGATCATGTTTCAGGTATACAAATTTGATAATGACATGCCACTTACAGGTTGTTTGCAAAATTAGAATCCTCTATTATATGAAAATGACAATCATTAATAACTATTTGCTAAGATATATATTTCAAACATTAAAAGCTTTGCATACCTGCAGTGTTCCCCCTCCACCCGTACTTTCACAGTCATCAGACACACTAACAATAGTCCATGGATCATATGCATTCCAATGGAAGTCGACTACTTTATCTCTGCATATAAAAAGTTAACAAAATTAAGCAGATTGGGGGAAGGGGTCCAGTATATATATCTTGAGGAAAATAAAATTTGCATTCTCAAGAATTAGTCCTATATTATTTGACAGGCCTTTCAAAATATGGGATGAACAATTCAAAAGGAAGAAGCAGTCAGAAGAAAGCTGCCAGACAATGACACAAAATGCTATGCACGGCAGCAACTAATTTGGTGCTATCTTAAGGATATCACTTCTATAGAATAAATAAATAAAAATTAATATTGCAAGCTTGCAGCCAATACACCTCAAATGGACAGTATCTGACAATGCTATGATCAAGGAAAAATCATTAGTACAAATCATGTTTTACAGTATTTATGTTTGACATTCAGCATTTCATCATGAATTCTTGATATCAAAGGATGTCATGGTGAATGACAAGATCAAAACATTGAAAACAGATAATCGGGCAACATGAGCAACAAAGCAAAACTCAAAAGGTGTAAGATAAGAAATCCGAGGAGATGCATCAGACAACAAACAAAACAATTTGATAGATCTTGCGCTTTTGACCAGGCTAAAAAGTTTAAATAACAAGAGTTAATTTAGATCTAGACGATTAGAATAACAACAGTTAAAGGTAAAAAAAATAAAGTAGTTCCATACCTATGACCTGCATGCTGGAAAAACAACCCTGGGGGAGAACTTATTGATTTTCCAGCTCGCTCTATCTTTATACCAACCTACAATATAAACAAAAAAAAAAAAAAAAAAAAAAAAAAAAAAAAAAAAAAAAAAAAGAGGGATTGAGCTGTTGACACCAGATTTTATTTTGGGGGCATGAAAGTAGCAAGAGATTAATGAGTGAAACTGCACCTTCTCATAGTCCCAGATGTTTAAGAGACCATCTTCAGCTGAACTTCCAAATACAGATGATTTGTCTGGAGACCACTGAATCAAATAAACAATGATTATCATATGTTAGTGTAGTAATAATATAATGCCAAGTGATGAGGATAATTATTAGAAAAGAAAAAGCATGTCCAAAATTACCTGAACACAAAGAACAGCAGCTTTGTGACCCTCAAATTTATGGATGGGTGACCCAACTCCATTAGATGTGAGATTGCGGCGATCAAACAAGCGAACAGAATTATCTGCTGACCTGCAGAGATATGGTGACAAGTCAAACAAGGATGTGATGTTTCATCAACTTGCGCATAATGATATGATAAATAGTGCACGTGTCCAAACTAAATTAAATGAATTAATGAAAATGAGAACTATACAACAGCAAAACATACCCAGTAAGAATCAGATTATTATCATGGGGGTTCCAGTCAACACAGTGAAGATCAGCATCATGAGCTTTTTCAACCTGTTGCCAATTCATGGCAGAGGAGAAACAATTAAAAAGAATTCAAAGACTCTGTATAAAGGTTATGCATATCAATACTTAAAATATAGATGCATATTAATGTCATTGCATACACCTAATCCAATAAGTTTGTGAGTAAACTAAAATCTACTAAAACAAGTGTCAGGTCCACCAAAAAAAAAAATTTACTTGTATAAAATAAAGGAAAACAAATTTAAATACATGATTGAAGTATAAAGCATATACCTTAACCACAGGGCTAGAGCCAACACGTGCATCCCATAAGATGAGACAAGAATCATCTCCAACACTACAGAATTCCTGTGCACTTCATGAATATAATGATGTCAGGAAGATATGGTTCTTTATAAAAACAGTATTTACCTCATGCTGCTACTGTAATACAAATGCACCAGATCCCTAAAACGAAAATAATAATAAAATATTTCCCGTCCCCCCTATTATCTTTCAAAAGGTATTTAATAAAGAATAATATGGAGATGATGAAGCAGGATGAGCAGAGGACACCCTAGACTTCACCCTAATGCTTATTTTAGACACAGGGAGAAAAATAAGCAAATAGAAAATGGAAGGAAAACAAACAAGAGAAAAAAACATTGTTCTCTTCTATTGTTTAGAAGAACAGAAAAGACAGATAGAATGTTATTACTCCTTCCTCTTGTTAGGTTGGGAATATTAGTAGGGGCATGTGCCAAATAAATAACTTATGTATCCTTTCGATGTAACAAGTGGGTAACCGAGCAGATAAGTAAATTTGTCATTCAAAACAAAGTTGCCTCATTCCTAAATCTTATCCCAACAGGAGAGAATATTTATGTGGGTCCCACCATTTTTCTCTCTGCAAACAAAAGAGAGGAAATGGTATAATCCATTCATTTTCTCTCCCACTCAACCTTCAAGTTTCTCTAAAATGTCAAAACCAAACTATTTTTAAAATTTCATAATAAGTTGAACATTAAAATGAGAATAGCCATTCTATTGAGGAAAAGCAAAGAAAGAAACTACTCGGTATATATGCAAATTACCTAGATGGGCAGAAAGTCACATCTTCAACAGTATCATCATGCCCACAGTAGATACCTCGTGGTCCAACAGAAGGGCCATCAACAGTTTTATCATTGCCTTCTCCAGATTTGGAGTTTGGTTTAATAATTGATCCTCCAGATGCAGCAGATGTTATATGGTCTTCAATACTCCACAACACAACCGTTTTGTCCTTACCTGCAATTTAAGTTACTTCTTTCAGATATAGAATAACCACATCAAGAATTAAAAGGAATTTGATAACCCAATTGTTTAAAGTTATCAAGTATACAAACCTCCTGAAAGAACATAGGGCTCAGTTGGGCACATTGCAAGAGCGAATTCTGCATTATCTTGGTGACCAGTCAATATCTACAAGAAAAGTTATACTGAATATATAAAGAAGCAGCAACCATGCCAAATAACAACAATAGAAACAACAACAATGTCACACTAGGAGTTTCTTTAATTGGTAATGAATAATTCAGAGGAACTAAAGATGAGGGCCACATATTTCAAAGTGGAGTGACCAATTTGATAGTATTCATTTGAATTTCAAAGTTTTTGCCGAAGAAGCATGCTGCATTCTCTACAGTCTTGACATATTGGTATCAGATACATATCGAATACCAATAAATGGGGATGTCTAGTCTTCACATATTGGTATCAGATACATATCTAACACCAATAAATGGGGATGTCACCAATACATATCAAAGTAGTATCCAAGCCATTTTTATTAAAGTGGCAAATTATGCCATTACAATACAGCTGGGACACTTCTGAAATATGGCTAGTGAGATTCAAACAGCTTAAATTCATCTCAAAATGGACTATTCAGTTTTTTCCTTTGTTTGACTCTTTGGTTAACTCCATAAGGCATAGGTGTGACTCTTCCCAGCCTATTACAATATGACAATCTGGTATATGTCACCACCACTTACACACATAAGCACATGCATAACTTTTCCTTCACAGGATGCATGACCTGCTGGATTGAGTTTTGTTTATTTTTTGTATTTTCACAAAAACCAGAATATTATATATTCATAACTTTAGTTTGGATTTTAGGTATTGAAATTATTTTATGGCCTAAAAGTTACTTTAACTTAAAGGTTTAAATTTAAAGCTCAAAATAAGAGCTTTAAAAATGAAGTAAATGTTTGTTTAGCTTAAAAGTTCCTTTAAAACTAAAAACTTTCTTTCTTTGCCATACATTGGTTGAATATTGATTACTGAATTAGAGGGAAACTAAGGTGGGCAGCTTATTTTAAGAATTGTTTTCTTAATAAAAAAATATTTTTCTCCCTTTTTTCATTTTTTTAAAAAATAAGCTCCTTATATATAAAGAAACTTTCCTCCAAAAGGGTTTGGCCCAACTTCTCCTTTTTAGAAGAAAAGCAAGAGAAGTGCAGAGCCAGACACTACCCTATTATGTTTTATAAATTTATTTACTTTATGTACATCTATATGCCATAAACATATTGCATCTCATAATTTTTCAAGAACAGCCACATTAGATCATAAAGGTGCATAGTAGGTTTTTGCACCAAAACCCATTCACCCCAATAATACTACACCATCCTTCTGTTCAATAGAGACAAATTAATCAAATGAAACTGCATCATAATCTGACTCACATCAAATCCTACTTATAAGGAAGATCCTATTTCTCACAAAAGAAATAAATAAAAAGGAACATTAATCTGCTTCATTCTTTCTCATGTTCCAAGAACTTTTTGAGATTTAAGTATGTTATGAAATATTAATGCCAATTCATACCAGATCTGGACGAGAGTTTGTGGCTCCAAGGACAGCATGACGGTTAGGTTGATTTTCAACATCCCAAACAAGAACCTGATATTTGAAGAGTTACAAATAAGGAACCACAAAACCAGGAAATCAAATTAGCTCCAAAAAATAAAAACAAAACAAAACAAACTGTAAAGTTCTCACATCAGGGCTATCTGTATGTGTAGCCACTATCTTGGAATTTTGTGGCAATTCCCTGATTCTGTTAACCTACAAAGCAAAGCCATAACACAATGAAAATTCAAGCCAAAATATAAACAAAAAATTCAAAACCAAGGCAGATTAAGGAACACACTTATTATTCAATATTCATTCTTTATAAATTATCATAGTCCATGCATGCTTCAAATGCATCCAGTCCAATTTTTAACCCATCCACAATGTAAACAGTAAATATACATGCATATACCTCGCCAGGATGTATGATGGTCTTGTACTTCTTCACAAATGGGGATCGCGCCTCTTCATTAAACTGAAATGAGTCAAAAACAAACCTAGCTGCTCAATTGAATTTCAAACACCAAAGTATAATCATTCAAAGAAATTGCAGACAGTTTTGACATAGTTCTTCATATTGCCGGAATTGTGGCCAATGCAGCCACAATTGCAGTTACACAGACCACAAAAGCAGGCCAAAATTGTGTAATGGACCCTTTTTTAAAACCTTGGGCAAGACCCATCACACCATTCACATTCACACAACCACACTTCACCTGAGAAATGTGCTCTGCAGCCGCAACCCTAGGCTTCACAACCTCGCAATTCGCAATCACCAGAGTATTCGGCACGCTACCATCAGTCTACCAAGGAAAAAAAAATTTATTTTCAGTAAAAACAGTTTTATTGTAACTAAACAAAAACACAAACACACTCGTTACCTTAACACCAAATAAAGACACACACAAAAAAAAATCCCACCCCTCAACACATTAAAACTGTTAAATTTAAAATAAATAAAAAATTAAAAATAACAATAACAACAAAGCATTAGATTGCCTGCTCGGAAAGGTAGAGACGCTGGCGATTCTTGTAAGTGGCTTGTTCGAGCTGAGGGCCCCACCTATGAACACCAAAAAAAAAAAAAATTAATTCAAGATTGAAAAAAAAAATGCAAAAAAAAAAAAAAAAAAACCCTAGAAAGAAACCTGCAAGAGAGAGAGGGCCAAACGAGGTTGTGGTTGGCGAGCCAATCGTAGAGAACAGGAACAAGGGACTTCCACTGCGTGTACTTTTCGTCGACCGAAGGTTGTTGTTGTTGTTGTTGGTGCTGTTGCTGCGTTTTTCTCCCTTCCTTCAAAGCCTTCGCATGTTGTTGTTCCTCTTTCTTCTCGTCCTTGGGCTTCGGTTTTCGTCCCCTTGTCTCCTTCTTCTTCACCACCTGTTGCGGAGGAGTCTCCATCTTCCTTCTCTCAAACTCTGCTCACTCTCACTCTCTCGCTGCTTTCTCTCTCTCTCTACACTCGTTTCGTCTTCCAACCCCTTAGTCAAAAAAAAAATAACAAGAATGATTTATTATGCGAACAAATAAATAAATAAAAATAACTAGGGAAATTATTTTTATTAATATTAATTTGAATCTGTGTTTGTTCAGACATTAAATGTAAATGATCTCTAGTGAACAGATGTATGTATACAGTGCACTGAAAATGTTATCAGAAATGAGATTCAATTTTATGAGTTCACTGTAAATGTTATCATAGGAAATGAGATTCAATTTTATGAGTTGGACTATTAAAGATTGGGCTAATAGGTTAAATAGATGTGGATTTTTATTGGATTTTTATTATGAGTTAATTCCATATATACAGTGACTAAAAACATTTTACATTTATAATTAATTATATCTTTAATAGAATTATATTTTTTTATTTAATTAAATAAAAATAAAATAAAATAATTTAGAAAATATGATTAGTTTCGAATATAAAAATTTTACATTAACAATGTATAAATAATTAATTCTTTTACTATTCATATTAACGCCAAAGAGTTATATTGAAAAATGGAATTTGATTTTTTCGCATAAATTACTAGAGACAGCCTAATAAAGTTAAATAGATATAGAGTTTCATTTAGTTTTCTTGTCCATATGATACGGCAAAAATGTTATCTAAAGGAATTAGATTTGATTTACTCAAATGGAGTACTTGGATTGACCTAATAAGACTAAATGGATATCAACTTTCATTCAATTTTTATTGTTCATATATCAAAAAAGTTATCTTAGGAAATAGGATTTGATTTTTCCATAGGTGCAACGTTTCTTAGTCTTTTATCCTAAATAAAAAAAATATTTTTTGATAAATAAGAAGAAAATAAATAAAATTTAAATATTAAAAATAAAAATAAAAATTTTATATTTATTTTTATTCATTTTCTATTATAAGGTTATGTGTATATTATTTAAACTTTCTTGACAATAAATTGACCTTCATTTATTTCTTTGAAAAGATCATTTTCATATATAGTTAATTTTTTTTATATAAAAAAATGATACATGTATAACAAATTGTATAATTGAGGTATTAGAATTTATTTAAGAGGCTGACTTCTTTTAACAGTTTTTTTTTAATACACAAATTAAAGATTAAACTCTTGACAATATGCTTAAAGAACAATGTTATCTACTAAACATGTCATGCTTAGTTAGTATTGTATAAATTATTGTATTATTATATGTAATATCATTACTAGGAGTGGACATAGGTTATATCATGTCAAACTTTGAATATACAGATTAAATTTATTTTATAAAATCAAAGTTTATGCTTAATCTCTATTATCTATCATAGTTTTTTTTTATAAACTTAACATGACATTTTAAAAAATCTGATCTGACCAATCAACTTATTTAAAAAATTATTTTAAATTAACAATGTTTAATATGACAACAAATTTATTTTCAAATACTTGTGCAATTTTTTTTAATATGTGTGATCAAAAAAATTTGTTTATTTCATTATTATTATAATTTAGATATTAAAAATAAGGGAAAAAATAACCTAAAAATGACAACTCGTACATAAATATACTAACATACATTCATGCACATATTGTGAAGAAATAGGACAATCTTATCCTAAAAAACACTTTTCATTTAGACTATTATAAATAATCAACCATAAAGGTAAAGATGTGACTACTAGAGTTTTTATTTTCAATTTCTTAATTTCATATGAATAGAGAATGTAAAACACATTTAAGTGTAGTAAAAATGTCAAAAAAACATTGATAATTTTGTTTTTTTTATAACAATTTTTTATTTAATTATATTATTAATAATGTAATATATATATATATATATATTACATAGATAAATGGATTGGTTTATAAGTTTAACAAACTATTTATAAACCAATATCCAACCTTCTTAAACAATAAGACTTTTTAAAAATCAAAATCTAACATTTTAATTAAATAGGTCAGGTCATAAACTACTTAAGGTTAGATCTATTTACATCCCTATTCATTACTCAATTTTAACTATTATGTATAATTTATTCATTCTATGTCACAAGATTTAATTTTTTTTTTGTGCCATCAATTAAATATAGTATAATTGTTAATAATTTAATTACTTAAGAATAATGTAAAGAATAACCAAATCTTTAAAATGTTTAAAAAAATTAAAATAATGAAAAAACATAGAGTCGAGTGTTCCAAATTAATCATGTATAACTAACTATAACCCTAATATAAAAAATCAAGTCTCTCATCATAAAAGGAAACAACTTTATCTTATTTATCTATGACTTTTACAATTAACAATAACCTTTCTACTATTCACTTTTTTTTTTATTAATTTGTTAATATATACCATGTAAATGTACTAATATTAAATAAATAACGTTTTTTAAAAAATTCTTCTTAGTAGTAAAAAAGGTGAGTGAATTAGTTGAGTGAGTACATCTAACTCTAAAATACTTAGTTATTTGTATTTCAATTTAGATCTGATTATTTGAATATCTTTATATATTTTACTAATATCATCATGTTCATTTATATTTTTTTTCTCATCTGTCTATGCAAAATCTAATACAACTTTCTTCCACTTAAACGATATATACTCAAAAAGATTTTAAAAAAAATAAAAATATATGATGTATAGCAATTTTTTAAAGTAGTAAATTTTTACATGTTTGATTTTCAATATTACCTTCATTTGTGTTTATAAATTTAAAATTAAATTAAAATATATTTTGGTATTTTTATTTTTGTAAGAAAAAGCTTTAACTTAATTATGAAAAGTTCATATATTGGACTTTTTACTTTTTAAAATAGGTAATTAATTTTTTTGATAAAATTATTTTAATGATAATTTATATAACATTTATTACAATTTATTTTTTAAAAATATATTTGATTTATTTCAAAATTAAAATTTTCAGTTAATTATTCAAAAACTATATAAATAATGAGTTGTATCACACTTTATTTTCATTTTTATATTCATCTTCAATATTTTTTTCAACAAACTTTGAAATATTGCAAAGTATTATTTTATTGTAACAATGTTACATATTTTTTAAGGTATGTAACAAAACTAACAATTTTACTACGATACAATATATATATATATATATATATATATATATATATATATATAATATATAATAAAAAGGAGGTTTATATCTATC